ATGTGCTAATAAAAAAAATGAATTAAAAAGAAAACCCATAAGGATATTTTTCTTTTACCCCGTTATCATTGAAAAATAATTGATTGTTATTTTTTAAAAGGATTTTTTTTTCTTTAAATAGTTAAAAAATTTGGATATTAATTAGAAATATAATTACTATTCACTTATATATTATTTTAATAAGTACATACTATGTATATTTTGGGTGTGGCTTTATAAAAAATTTAAGTAAATTTTATTGATTTTCATATTTCGTAGAATTCATTGTAAGTATGTTCACAAAATATAATCATATTTTATATTATATAAAATATACGCCAGTCATTTTAAAATGTCCTGATAATCAAATAATTTAAAACCATCACTATATGCCTATAAATCTTTATTTACATCATACAAGTATTTTATACATTATTCTACAGATAAATTGAATATATATATATACTTATATAAGTATAGGTGTGTATTTGTATAAATTTTGATAATTTTATAAAATAAACTTTTATATATACTTATATGAATATAGAATTTGGTATATTTAATCATTGTTATTCAAGTTATACTTACCCTTAAACAAAAAAAACAAACATTTAATTTTTGGGTGCTATTTTCTTTGAATGTTTGTTATAAACATAACGTATGTATACGTACATATGTACTTGTATCTGTTATACTAGTATATCCATATGTTATACAAAATATCTAAATTGATGTATAAATTATTATATCTACTTGTAAGTAAGTGTATACATATATGCTTATTTATAGTGAAAGAAAACAAAAACAATATTTTTAGTTATATACAAAATTTCAAAAACCGTTATTATTTATTTATATATATTTAAGTGTAAGTATAACATATGTATATTAAGCTATGTACCTATGATATGAACATATATATATATATATATTTTGTTTTGAAATAACATTATTGTGTTTTTAAACCTTCTCACTCACTATTCAATATAATTTTGCTCAATAGAAATTTTCACAAAATTCTTATAAATTATATAATTATAGTTGTGTTTGTATATATTTCACTTCAAATCGAAATTCTATATGCATTAAAAAAGGATAACATTATATGAGTACATATGTACAGTACATTTATATAAACGTATGCATTTCAACGTATATTCTATAAAAAAATATACTTATCGTAAATATGCCGTTAACCGTTATATAAAATTAAAATTTCCATACTAATATCATAGGTAAATGAAGTTCATACATACTTATAACGTATTTATATGTGTGTATATATGAATATTTCACTTTATACTTGCATGATTTCGTGTTTGTAATTCTTCAATATATATACTTAATAATTGAAATCAGGAATATGCAACGTTCACCCATAGTAGTTATTTATATGCACCACGTAAAAATGTTTTAAAATATTGAATCAAACTTGCTAGTCTTAAACCGAGATTAAAGAAAATTTCGGATGGTAAAATAGAAACTAAAATATAGATATTAGGAACACAATTTTATAATTTGTTGACTTCTTTTAAGAAAATCTTAATAAAATATCTTAACTATTTTTTTTTGAAGGGCATCAAGTTCATATTACCCTTGCTCCGTTTGCATTTTAAAATTAAAATTTCTAAAACATTTTTAACAAATTTTTTTGTTTTTGGTGGTATCGATTTTTTTTTTTTATTTTAAAGCATTTTCAGTAAATTTTGATTGGCGCAATCTTTATAATCCGGTCCCATAGTCTTGTAATAGTTGCATATATGCTTATTTTGAATACCAAGTTTTGCTTTTACGTAAAATATAATTATAAATATTACCTATAGCCAGTTTAGTGCAGAAAATTTTTTTGGTTTAAATATCGCTTTAAACTATAAATTTTCATATATTTGAATATTATATATTCATACTTATATATATATATACATATATATATTTGTAGTTATACATTATTATTTTCTTTATTTTCTATATTGTATTTAAGTTATAATTTTATATACATATAAATATATTTAATTTTGATTTTAAATACATACACTTGAATATATTAGTAATATAAATACGTATATATAATTTGTGTATATTAGCTATTTTTATGTACATATATTTATATGTATAAAATATATTTACATATATAATCCAAGTTTCTTAATTTATACGCACGTATAATTATTTTTTATAAAGAAAACATAGTTAATAGTATAAGTGTATGTAGATTAGATACTATATATAAAAATTAGTGGGGCAGAGATTATGGTATTTATTCAAAAAATTTTAAAAGGGTTTTCCCCAACAAATAAAATAATAACAAAAATAATAAGAAGAAGAAAAACAAGAAAAAGAACATTTATAATAATAAAAATACAAAAGAAAATTTAAAATTATTTAACATTATTATTATACTCTAAAGGACGATTTAATGATAAATATTCCAGGATAATATTATACTTATAGTGGTATGATAATGGTTGGTTGGTTAGTTTTATATATTATAAAATTAAATATATACTTAATGTATACATATAAGGTATAAACTTTTCAAATACTACTCTGTATTATAGGGTTTTTGAATTGCTTATAAACATAACAATTGTTTAGATACGATGTTTGTGTATTTTCATATTTTTATTATATATGTACATATATTTGTATAAAATATATATGAATGAATGTATGTATGTATACTAAAATATTATTAACATTATATTTTATACATTCATGTAGCATATGATTAATATTGAATATTTAATATGCCTACTTAAATAATATGTGATAAAAACAAAAATTAAAATATTTGTTATAATAAGGATCACATTTTATTTAAAGGTATAATATCCTAAGGTGCTGCTAGAGTAGCTGGGAGTTGTTTAAAAAATTAAACACTTTTTTGTATGAACTTAACTCCTCATAACTTTTGTATGAACTTCCTCTTAACGAAATATAGAAGTAAAATCAAACCTAAAAATGTAAAAATCTAAGATTAAACATTTATTTTCTACCTAAAAATGTGAAAACATCTATCAAAATGTCTTAGGGGTAAAAAATTTGGTGACTTATCATGTAATTTCATTATTAGGCTCAGATCAGTTGAGTTTGAGACCAATTGCGTTCGTGTAGATTTCGTCATGATAAATATGAAATGGTTAAAAATCTCCTCTGCTTTTGTGAAGCATTGACAAGAAGACGACTACTTCACCTGGAGGGGTATGTGGTTGCACTTTCGGAATTATGGGAATTGTGCGTTTAGGAAGTTCTATAATTATTTGGAGGTTATAGGCGTAAAGCATGCTGTTTAGACGGCTATTAAGTTATCAACAAAAACGATTGCATCCCTGTCAGTCTGTAATTTTTTTTTTTTTTTTTTTAATTTATTTATCTATCTACCACAATATACATATACTTGAAAAATATTAATCTCAAACCTCTCAATGTAGTTGTAGGTGTTTCTAATTATTTTTTTTTATTTATTGTTCTTATATGAGTTTATTTTATCATCCCGTTTCGAGAAAACCATCGAATCTTGCACACTTTGTATATAAATGAAAATATTATGTAAATACATTTTTGCATTTTCCAAAACATAAAATTTTTTCAACAGAAAATAAAAAGAGAAGAGAAAAAAAAAAGAGAATTCTCAAATAGTTTCACCCAAAAAATTTCTAACCCAAAAATTTCATTAATAAATAAATAGTAACTATGTATAGTAAGCTCCTCATTCTCGTCTACAATTAAATGAAATATAAAATTATTTAAAATTTTCCATTTTTCTTTTTTTAAACTGAAAAAGTACCCATCTCTTTTATTGGAAAATTAAAGGAATTTAATAATTTTTTAATATTTTCCTTTTTTTTTTTAATTTTTTTTTTGTGTTTTTTACTACTATTATTATTGTTGTTGCTGTTGCCATTCCTGATATTTCTGTTCTTCCTTTTCATTGTCTTTTTTTTCCAATTCTTTTGTTTTTATTTTAGTTTTTCAGTATGTTTTCGTTGAATTTTTCCAACTTTATTTTTTTTGGGTACACAAAATATTATTGTTAGAAATTTATTTTGGTTTTTGTGTGTTTTTCTTTATTTTACTTTTTTTTTATATTACTCTAAATATAACTATATACGATTATATATATATAATTGTGTTACATACATTATGTAGATGTGTTCACAAAAAACCTATGTAATTAGATATTCATATTATATTCATAAGCATAAGTATATATATACAAACATATGTATTATGTAAATACATACGAGTACATGGTATAACATGGGCTTACTGTATTGTATTATACATATATTGGGTATAGTATTTGTATTTACGAATGTATGTACCTATGGTATTGTACCCATGGTATATAGCAGCAGCATGTTCATATAAAATTTTCCAATTTGAAAATTTTATAAAATTTTCTTATTTTGTACTTTTTCAAAATTTTATAATAAAAACAGAAAAAAAAAATTTTTCCCTCTTATTTTTACTTCTACATTGAGTTGGAACATGTAAATATGTATGTATATGTACGTTTTATATGACTAAGGTATAATTATGTTTATATTATGTACTTGTGTATATAAATGAAAAGATAAAACAAAATGTTTTACATTTATAATATTTTTTAATAGTCAAAGTAAGTGAAAAATATTTTTATGTTATATGAAAAAGATGAAATTTCTTCATCAGTTGAATTTTCAACAGCAGAAGGTACTGATCAAATTGAAAATATTTGCAAATATAAAAATTTTTTTTGAAAATTTTCAAATATAAAAAAAAATAAAACAATAAATATAATTAAATTAATAATATTTTTTTTTTTCAAATTTAAAATTTAATTATTCAGTCAATAAATTTTCTTCAGTGTTATAACAATATTTTTCTTTAAGTGAATTTTTTAAAAAAACTCAATTATTATTCTTTTTAAACTGAAATATTTTATATTTTACATTAATTATAAAAATTTTTAAAATTTAAATTTAAAAAAAAAAAAGTATTTTTTTTTTTTTAATAAAATTTTTAAATATTACACTTAGGCAACAAAAAATAATTTAGAAGACGAAGAAGATTTTGATGATTCTGGATCTGATTTTGATGATGATGAAGATCCTGATCAAATAGAAGTTCCAGGTAAGTTTAATATTATATTTTTGTTCTGTTATGAATTATATAAAATAAGAATATGTAATCGAATGTGTATAGGAGATAATTTTTTAAAAATATTAATTTTTATTCAGCAATTTTTTCCTTTATAAATTGAAATTAAAATTTTTGTTTATCTGCAATTAGTCAGTTCAATTAATAATTTAATTTTTAGTGTAATCTCTCAATTTTTAAGAGATTTTCTTTTGACTGCTAGAAAGTCATATCAAATATTTTTATAAATATTCATTACTCGTAAAAACTTGGCGGTATGTCTGTTAATTTTATTTAATTAAAAAAATAATTAGTGTACTAAACAAATACATTTCTTAAAGATATAACAGCAAGTTTTTTGTTCATATTGTAAGAATTGAATTTAATTACGAAAATTTATTTGAATATTCGATATTAAAACTTTATGAGTAAAAAGAGCAACTGTAAGTAAAACAAATATCCCATAGTTTCTCTGAATATTCTCGTTATCCAAGTTCAATTGTTATACGTATAACAAAGCAAATAAATAATTCCTTGTAACAATATTTTGTTCAATATTATAGTTTTAAGTTGGTAAAATTCAATTCAATTTTTTCTTTATGCTTAAGAAGTATATATAAGTATTTAAACTTAAACTCAGCGATGATTTCGTACAGAAATTTTAAAAACTACCTATAACTTAAATAATTAAAATAAATTTCATATTTCAATTTTAGTGTTATAAAAAATTCCGTTAAAAAGTAAAAAAGTTTTACAGATTTTTGTGTTTTCGATCAATTTTTATTATAAAATTTTCCTAATATATAAAATATAATCCTATATAGTCTGATATTTGAATTTTTTTCTATAAAATACAGAAATTGTTTTTATGTATTTAAGAATGTTGTTATGAATGGTGTCTATTAGTATATAAACGAAGTAGCGGTACTACTCTTTTATAATATTTCAGTTTTTGAATTTGATTTTTTGTTAAATTTAAAAATATTTTATTATTTTAAATATTAATCAATTGTGCTCGCATGAGATAAAGACAATTCGTATAAACTATTTACCATTTTTAAAGTTAAATTTTGTATAGGGAACTATGAATACCCTGTACATATGCATTTTGTTTGGGAAATATGGAAAAAATTAATTACTAACTCCATTTTTTTTACAAAAAGAGCAAAAAAAATAGAAACTTTTTTCTGTGTTTTTCCTTCATTTTTCTTACGTATGAAAGTTTAATTTTCCATTATTTTTTAATATTTTTTTTGTTTTATTATTTTTGGTATATCCTTATTTTGTTTATGTACCTTACCTTAGGTTTATTAAATATGTATAATAAATAAGGTATGCTTGCATATTATAGGATTTTTGTTTTCTATTAATCTCATAACATTTTTTATGTTCTTAGTTTACGTATATTAAGATATTGAAAAAAAAAAAATATTTTTTAATTTTATGGCTTTTAAGGTAAAAATTGTTAAATTTAAAAAAATGTGTTTTTAATCTCTTCTACTACACTTTGTTTATTAATTAATTTATGTTTGCCTCAAACATATTTCAAAATTATGGAAGAATATAAATGTATATATTTTTCAAAAGACTTGACTTAAAATTAATTTAAAATGATCCTGTAAAAACATTGTTACTACATAGTTAGATAATATAGAATACAAGGAAGAGCTTTTTCATCGATTCTTTTGTTAGTGAAAAGCAAAGCAACGTTTGTATTTATTGCATAAACTCAGCATTCTACTAGCAGGTTTCCAATAATTATCCTTAATTATTCAATTTAATTTTTAGGTTATAACTTATACACTGAGATATACAAAACTTGAAAGGTGTATATACTAAGTTTGAAAAAAATTGCAATTTTTGTTTAATAGCATCTTTTTTTAATCCGCCTTTAAACATTCGCGTTTTTTTTTTAAATATTTTTATTTATACTACTTTTCCACTCTAAGAGGCTATATAAGCCCACCAAAGTTATTGAAATGCTGTAAACTGTTAACAATTTATAAATTCCTCAAATATAGAAAAATAATAAACTTTCTTCATTTTTATTGAAAATACGGGTATAGTTTTTCTTTTGGACGATAAGCTATATAGAAATATGAAATTTTAATAATTTTAAGACTTTTATGCTATAAGGCTACCTTTAATTTTCATTCTTTTCATTATTTCTCATTAGTTACAAGAAATACGTGATAATTTAAAATACAAATCGTGTTAATTTATTTCATTCATGTTAATTAAAATTGATTCAATCGTAGAATTATGTAGAGAATTTAAATTTATAATATAAAATTTTGAACTTTTAAATTTGGATTACATACTCATAGATAGGTTTTGTTTTGTAGTAACCACAGAAATATGCACATAGAAAATAATAATTATTATGTATGTAGGTCCTATTGTTTTTACATACCAATTTAATATAAGGATGTAGTTATTTTTCTGCTTATATTTTTTCTTATTAATATTCAAAAAATAGCAAAAAGGCATAGAATTTAAAATATTTTATTTAAATTTAGAAAAAGGTTATGTATGTAATGTATAAAAACACAAAATTTCCTTTAAATTTTTTTAAAATAGCAAAATCTTTATATACTTACATACATACATATCTTCTACATAAATACCTTCTGTACGTTTATAAATTTATTACGTACCTATCCATTTTTTTTTTTTACAAAACTTTTGAATATTTTTCCTTTTTTTACTCCTTTTTTTTTAAATTTAGTTAAAAGAAATAAAGTTTATAATAAATTCAATATTTTTTTACTGATATATTTTTTGTTTTTTGGAATAATAAAAACAATATATATACTAATATACACACTCTTATATTACAATATATAAATATGTGTGTGACGGTATGTATAAATGTGTATAATAAAATATTTCATTCTTTTTAAATAGTTTATGAAATTTAAAAAAAAACCTATATTAAAAAATCCTTAAATGTTACTTATATATACACACATATACACATATTTATACATACACATATATAATGTTATATATTGTATACATATTATATACATATTATATGGATATTATAAATTTACATTCATGTATTTTTGATAGGAAAATATTTTAAATATTTTTTACAAAAAATAAACAAAGCTATAGAAAAAAGGGGTACATGTTTATCATTGTTTACATACGTATACATATTATATACTTTCATATACACTTAAGTATCGTTTTTATAATTTTATATTGTGTGATAAATACACAATATTTAATTATTATATGGTGTTATGGTATAGAGAGAATGCAAGATTTGAGACATTTTAATTAAAAAAAATTTTTTGAACGAATTTGGTACAAATTGTTGTTACAAAATTTTTTAAAATGTTCACTGGCCTTTAATTCTTTGCCGTTTGTCTATAAGATTGGTTTTTTATTAAAGAATCAAATAGCTTATAATTACATTTAGTACTTTTGTCATAAAATATGTAATAATAAGTTCGAAATTTAATTTTGTATTGCAAAACCCTTGCAAATTTGTAATTTTTGATTCTCAATTTTGATAAATTTCAAGCTTGTGCAAATGTACGCACTTTTTGTCAATAATTTGCCATACTTGGTCCTGTTTCAGTACTAATTTTGCTAAAAGTCTCATTTGAATACAGAGGAGGATGCATATTTTTAGGAAACTGTGAAATTGCGATAAAATTTATTGGATTGTTATGACCTTTTAAAATTTCTCTTTTTTGAGTATGTGCTAATTTTGTACAAGGAAATCAAAGTAAATTGATTGCAAAAGTCAAACATTATAATATCCCTAAATCTAAATAATAATTATGCTTATAATTATTCCTTATACTTCCTGTAGATGTATGTATGTATGTAAAATAAATATATAAGTTGAATTTTTGTTTTCCATTTTCTAAATAAGTTCCGAGTTCTTACTTTATGATTTTCTTGATTCAAAAAAACAATAAAATGTTTCTAAGCAAGAATAACTTCTTTCACTTGTGTTTCTGAAATTGTCCAAATAAAAAAAATATTCATAAATATTTTAAATTTAATACATATATATGTACTTATATATAAGTATACATATGCGATTATTATGAAAAGATTTATATATATAAAAAGTACTTATATGCATTAATTTTGTAAATACACAAGATATCAAGATATTTGAAAAATAATAAAATTGTTATGCAAGTATATAAGCTCTAGTATTCTATTGATATTGCTAATATTGTTGCCTCTTACAGTATTTACCCAAAAATTCTTTAATATATGTAAAATAAATAGTATTCAAGCATAAAAACAAAACTCATACAAATTTATAATATCTATATATGATAAGGCTCATGTTATATAGTTGTAGAATTAAACTATGTATTTTATTTATAATTTGAAATTTTCATAAATATTTATTCGTATTGCAATATAGAAGAAACAAAATTTTTAAATTAAGCCCTTAATTATTTAAAATTTTTTATTTAGTCTTCAAATTTTCAAAATTATGTTTTGCAAAAGTAAAGGCAATCACAAACTATTATATTTCATTTCCCCTACATATTATAAAGACATTTATATTACAATAAGTCAGGAACTGTTATAGAGTTACACTTTCAGTGAAATTGAGAAATCTTGGTTTATTTGAATCTTGAATTTAATTTTTTGCAAAGTGAAAAGGGTATATTTAATTTTGAAATCAAGTTATTGAAATAATTTTCACAATTTAAAGATGAGGCTTATTGTGCTAATCACTTTTCATTTTGCTTTATTATTTTTTAATTTTTAATTTAATTTATAGTTTATAAGTTTTTTGCCCATTGGTATACATACAACAGAAATTTGGAAATTTTATTTTGTCTAATTGATTGTAGTGTTAATTAATAAAAGTAAAACGAAAAGTTTTTATTTTATCAACTTTTAGGCCCTGCTCTCTTTTGAACAATGAGTTATTAAAATAGATCTTATACAGTTATAATTCTGTAAGGGGAGAATTAAAAAAATCGTGTTCGTCATAATAATTCAAA